TGCCCTGCCCTGTCCTGCCCTGCCCCCTGCCCCCCCGGCCCCCCCCCTGCTCTCTGCCTTCTGGGCTGGTGTGTTCCGCGCGTCACGATGCACAGGCGTGCGAACGTTCTCGAATATTGATGTTGCAGAGGCCAAGAAGCCCGGGGCAAGTTGTTGCAAGTACTTTGTCAAGACAGCGGTAGTACAAGGCAGAGCAACCGCGTTACCCTTGCAGTAAGCACCGGTCGTGAAAGAACTGCACGGCTTGTCATCGCGCGGTAACATTTCGAAAAGCTCCAGGATCTGCTCACGCGTCAGAGGCGAACCTCCGTCCAACAAAGATTTGGCAAAGCTCTCCGGGCTTTGGGTTCCTGACTCCGGCCTGCCATTATTGTTCGACTGCACAAGGACGGTCTTAGGGGAAACCCGGGGTACTAAACCCGAAGCAGGCACAGGGGCTCGGTGCGAAGGGGCAAACCTGAAGCTGGCACAGACCTGAAAAATAACTCTGGCACAGGACTGGACGATGGTTCAGGCATCGATGATGGCTCAGGCATCGGCGACGAGGTAGGCACAAGTCGATGGCTGCAGTAAGAAATTGACAGAAGGGCACAGGCCAGTCACAACTCCGCGACAAGTTCCAATCTTGGGATTGCGGAGATTTGCCCGTGGTTGGGTCATGCCTGCTATGCGGGCAAGTGGACGGCAGGGGGCCTAAGTACCTGCCATCAGCATCAAAAGACGGCAGCTTGCTGAAAGGTCGCGGCGTATGCTTGAAGAATGGAAGATTGGTGAGATAACGAGTGGGCTTGGCCACAGGCGATCCAAACTCACAGAATGAGATCAAGCAGCTCAGGCCAGGCCCAAATTGAGCTCGGCACATTGTTGTCCGGCATACGGCCGAAATGTTCCGGTGCTTCCCACATGAAGAAATTACCAGCCTCGGCTGCGAAAATTGTGGACTTCAAACACTGATCAATGAAACGATTTGCAAACGTTACCTTAAGACTAAGGGAGTCTTTAAGCCATGGAAAACTCGGAGCCACTGCGCGTTGCGTAAGGAGGGTGGCCCGGGCCGCTTGTGCTGCGCGCTGCTAAAGGTATCGTACGGTGGTGAAAACAAAAAGGATTGTCTGGAGTCATTGGGAAAGCTCAAAACAGCTCTTGCCAAGCAGAATCCTCAGAAATATTTTCCATGCCAAATTCAACTGAAACAATAGTTGGCTGCATCACTGACTGTTGGAGCTGTGGCTCCAAATCGAAGCGCCCAGCAGGATCAGCAAAGACATGCACCACAAGGCAGCACAGGTTGGCCTGACAAGAGTTGTGCTGGCTGACTAGGGGAATCCTGCTGAGCGCTGGCCAGGCCGGGTCAGCAGATTTCACCCGCGAAGGCGGCTTTTACAGCCTCTGCTGGTGTCCAAACATCGGATTTGTGCAAAGTTACAAGATTTTCAGCTCTCAGCCAGGCAGCTAAAGGTGTCCGGACCCCTGAGCAATCATTTCTTCCAATGTGCCCGTGGACAAGATTGCACAGCTTTAGAGCTGGTACAAGGGGTGGATCTGTCCATGTAGGACCATGTGGCAATTCGATCTGACGGCTGCGATCTGCAGGCAGTGCCATTGCTATTTCTCCAACAAAAACGGAATGGTAGTTGATGAGCCCTTTGCCGGTCTTGCACTTTCCTTCGGCATCTTCCGTCTACAGCAAGGCATCGACCATCGCCTATTCTTGGATGCTGACGTGATTGCGTATGATCTCTACTGGTGTGGCTTAGATAGCTGTTTGTTAAAAGACTATGCTGTTCCACTTGGCAGCTTGCAAGTGGACGGACCGCGCACAAACCAAGAAGTGAGTTGCTCAGTTGGACAGCTGTGTTCATTGAGGGACATCGAGTCTGTGCGTGCTCGTGAAGCCGAGGATGCCTTTTTTGAGTTCCTGGACACCTCCTTCACCTTGCAGATCTTGCAGTCTCCAGTGGGAATTTTCCGGCTTTGCTTCTGCTGGCCCAAACCCGAGCCGGATTCGGAGGCATGTGAGACGTCCACCGGCTTCGCAGCGCCCGTGGGCCTCATGGTGGTGTAGGAACCCTTCGAACAGACCACGGCTTGTAACGCAGGGCAGCCTTGTGCAATCTCGTTGACAGGGATGGCATTGACAGATCAAGACAAGTTGGTTCTGACAGCTCATGCTTGTGATTCACCTGAAATCAGTCTAACCGTAGGCCTGCCTGGCTACGACGAGTTCCAACAGCCACTGAGCTTGGAAGAAATTGGTAGGCGTCTGCAAGTCTCCCTTGGAAAGCTTCCTCTGGAGACCGCCCGGTGTCTACCAAGCATGCTGGCTCAGCCTGCACCTCATCATCCTCCTTCCGTGCGGCAGCGGGCACGCTGAGTGTGAACTGCCCCGGGGGTTATTTCTATGCCGCCGAACACAGTCCATGCCGTCTGTGCAGCCGAGGGTTCTACTGCCCCGGCGGCAGCCGAAGCGTCGCCGTCAGAGTACCATGCCCAGACGGCGAGACCACCCTCTCCGCCGACTCGTGATCTCCAAAACAACCTGCGACACGGCACAGATGCACGCGGGTGCACTTCGGGTCGGTACACCCTTGATGATTGAAGGCGAAACACAGCTGTCTTCCGTCTGTCGTGACGGACACTAGGGCCAGCTGCTTGCCGTTGGCGAGAATGATGTGGCCCTTGCCCTTTCCATTCTTGCCCTCGCCTGCCTGGGCTCCGCATGCGGCGCGGGCGGTGGCGGCACTTGCCTGTCCGTGAAATGGGTCTTGTCTTTTCCCTTGTGATTTCCCTTGCGGAACTTGCTTGGCGTGCTGGCAGTGTGAAGGGCCAAAGGTGTCGTAAAGTACGATTCTTTCAAGGATGTGTCCTCACGGACGGCCCGGAGGGCCTCAGATATGGTGAATCCGTCCTCAGTAATCCTCTTGAAAGCCTCAACCCTCAGCTTATATTCATAACTCAAGACAATGTTCCACGGCGGCCGATTAAACTGCGCCCGGTGGCAGTGGGCAATTTCAAGTTGCCAGTTGCCAACTCTATCACCCAGCACGTACTCAACAAACTTAGTGAAGTCATCAAGCTGCAAGCCTTGCAACCACGCCTTGGCCTTGAATCGCGCGCTCATGCAGAGCCAGGCGTGCGCCTCCACTTTAAGCAGGCGCCTGTAACCTTCAGAATGATGTGGCATCTCAAGCTTCTGCATAGTCTTGGTAACCCGGACGTGGCCTGTTGGGTCGATGCTTGTCTGAAGGTTTTCTACCTGCAAATCCTTCTTTGAAGAGATGCGATCCAAAGCACTTACCAAAGGTTCGTTGCTCTCGCACTCCTCGGCCTTGGTCGCCAGGTTTTCGGCACTCGAGGTTTCAGCCTCGTTGAGCTTGCCATATGCATCTGTAACGGCCTTTAACATAGCCTGGTTTTCCTGCACTTGCAAAATGCGCTTGTGCCTTAGAACCTTTGCTTCAGCTCTCACTTCTACTTCTTTCCCGGCAAACTCCTTTGCCATCTCCCAAGCAGCAACTACCGCCGCAATCTCTACTCGCCCGGCAGGCGTCGTGTGATCAAGCAGCTGTTCTCGCTTCCTCGCGCGTGTCAGCAATTGCTTGGAACCTTCTCCATCACACTCATGTCCCTCTGCACAGACCCTCGCAACTCAGCCGATCCTAACAGGGTGATTTCACACATTCAATCCTCAATGCTGTCAGAGTCACTTGTGGACGCACTCTCGCTACTGGTGTCCTGGCTGGGCTCCATACCCTGCTCGTCCCTCATGCGATGCTTGCAATCACGGAAAATGCTATCAATCTGGTCAAGTATGACACGATCTACGTATTCAACCTTGGTGCAATGGTGGGCTTACCCATTGAGATGCAGGCGTCGGTAGCCAGCTTTTCGGCTGATGCTGATGAAGTATTT